TCCTGCGCGGAGTAAGCTGGGAGAAAGTGAATGGCTCTCACTTCCACTGAGGACTGGCTGTGGATGCCATTTTTAAAGGGGCCTATTAAAGGGCTGCAGCGCTGACTGGGCCCCTGAAGACATATGCTCACTGCGTGGCCCCATGCCTCACCCGATGGGTACAATCAGTGTACAGGCCCTGGTGCAGCTGCTAGTTCCACTGCTACAGATCGGGGACACTGGGCATGTGATACCCATCATGGTTGTCACCCCTTGATGGCAACCCTGGTTTTAACAGGCATCAAACTCAGTTATGTCTCAGCTCTTCCAGTGTCTGTGTCATGTTTATTGACTTTTGTACCTTTAAGGAAATAAATGCCTGTCGCTTTAAGAGGTATTGACAGAAGCTCTGTTCCGCAATACAAAAGTGCACCATCAGTGCCACTATGGACTACTAATGTGTTTACTTCTAACGGTACATGCTGTCTATTATCCTCCCTTTGTTCAAGCAGGCCTCTTTGTTGCAGCTAACTGATCACTCTAAACAACCTTCTTGTTATGTGATTTATTCGGTTTCTGACCTAGTATTATGTATACAGAATTTATTTTTTCTTCACCCCCTAATCATACTATCTTTATCTGTACCCCAATACTAAATGTATCTCCATTCTATCCCTAAACTCAATAATTGTAAACAACCTGAATACCAGAATTGCAAACCCTCTCAATTGTTTAATCATCCTAACATTCTGTGTAATCTAACTCTGAAATTAACCCCTCTCTCAGTGACCAGAAACCTTCAATGAATTGCAATTCCACTTTGTCTCATCAGCATGGTGCCAGTTCAGATCTGGAAAAGTTGAAGTCATATAGCTATATAGAGCGTATAATTGAGTACCAAAAAGATTAAGGTGTGGCTTAACACGATACAACTGCACACAGGCCAGATAGATAGAGAGATAGAAAGAAAGAGTCATGGCAAAAAGAAAATACATCCGCTTTTAATTCTATGGTTTTACATATCAGGACATCATAACAATCATCTGTCCTTAGCAGGCCTTAGCATTAGGAAAATACAACCTCAAATGAACAACAACACATGACACATTACAACATGTCATGATTTATTTAGCAAAAATAAAGCCACAATATGCTGATCCAGAAGATGATGGAAAATGTAATTTAAGAAATGTTGAAACATAGCTGGTGCATCACACAGACCGTAAGGTAAGCGCGTCAAACTCAAAGTCTGGCATGGGCCACATAAACAATGTTTAAGTTTATGTGGGCAGCAAAAAAAAAAAAAAATACCTTAAATTTTCATAGAAACTTAGGTTCATTTTAAAAATTACAGTATAAAAAATCCCCCAGCATTCCCCTCTACTAAAACACAGCACCCCCCTCTACTAAATCCCAGTCCCCCTCTTCTAAACCACAGCACCCCCTTCTATCACCCTGTGCCAAATCTGATCCTTCCGCTGACACACACATACTCACTGACAGACAGACACACACATACAGACACATTGACACACACACACATACTCACTGACAGACACACATACTCACTGTCAGACACACACACATACAGACACACACACATACAGACACACACACACATACTGACTGACAGACACACACATACAGACAGACACACTGACAAACATACTCACTGACAGACACACACACACTCACTGACAGACACACACACATACTCGCTGACAGACACACACATACTCACAGACAGACACACACACATACTTACTGACAGACAGACACACACACACACAGACACACACTCACACAGACACACATATAGTCACTGACAGACAGACACACACACACACACATACTCACTGACCGACACACAAGCACACACATACTCATGGGCAGACACACACTCACTGACAGACACTCACACACACTTACACATTCTTGCACACACATACTGTTATGGTTGCCCCAGGCTTGCTGAGGGTTGGACCATAGAAAGGATGCTCCTAGCACTCACCAAGGACCATCAGCACCATAGACCCTGTCGCTGCTGGGTTGGGGTCTCGACGTCTTCTACCCACCCTGGACCTACGACAAGGCTCCAGGTTCCAGTGGGGGCACCTCTCTTCCTCCCAGAGAGGAAAGCAGGATCAGGAACAAGAGCTCTTACAAGAGCTCAGTGAAGCTAAGTGAATATGCAGAGCATAGCAATCCCATTAGTGATTATAGCTGCCCCCTCCAAACACGAGTCAAGGCTGTGAGTTGAGGGTCAAAGGACTTTCCTTTATACACAAAAAATTGTTTCCCCTTTTTTGCTGACTGTGCTATTTTCTCTTCTGCGTATGCTTTGGAGGCTCTTATAACTTGCTTAGCCTCTTTCTGCCTAATCTTTTTTTTTTGACAATCTTTGTTTTTATTGAGGCATAGTTTAATACAGTACAGATAGAACAGCCAGCAGTAAGTGCACAGAGTCCATATGGTTTGCATAACTTCGAGATAGCGATATCAATACTGGTACTCCCTCGTATTTCCGCCTCATTTATGGTTCAACTAAGTATAACTGTGCTGGATAAACAAGTATTTTTGTTAATGCTAACTGTGACAGATCCATCTGTATAGACTAAAATTGCTGGATTCGTCTGTTTTGCCTTTTTCATGAATTTACCCGTTCGTATGCCTTTGTTTAAGTGAATGGACTTTTCTGCCAAACGGAACTGCCAAACGGACGGCCACCCAGAAGAGAAGTGTGCTCCTGGTTAACCTATTGATCCCAATTAGAACATTGCGGTTAACCACAGACACTTCTCAATTAAAACTGAATACAGGGTGGTTGTCGTTCGTATGTTGACCACGAGGCGGCAGCCATTTTAAACCATGCGAAAGACCAGCGGTGTTCGGCATTGATTTCATGGAACTGAAAACGGACACTTTTTCAACCGAACACCGCTGAAGCCGTCGACCTCACTTCTCAATCGACAGAAGTGTGCGAACACCGGCCGTTCGGGAGGTTTAAAGGCACGAATAGACTTACCCCAGATAGCCTTCCCATGGAGTCAATCACATACCGAAGAACTGTAATAGACTTTGACTCCATGGCGATTGAACTATGTGTATGGGATCTGAGCGCTATTCGCCAATAATAAGCACTCAGATCCAGGCTATCTGGGGATATGCGATACGAATGGGTAGCATTCGACAAATGTAAAGTTATATTTTTGTATGTGTTATTATGTGTTGAATGTAAAATGGCAATTTGTCTCTGTCCTGGAGATAATTGACACACCGCGCGTCTGAGGTCGATCGCCCACCTACTCGGTCCCCAGCGCCCTTTGTCTCACCATTTTGCGGGCCATGTATTCGATCCAGGGTGCCCATAGTCGGCTGCATTTTTTCCCTGTCTACTTCAGGTCTGCTGTAAGGCTCTCCATGCTGTAGATTTCTTCCACCCTCTCCATCCAATTCGACACTGATGGGACCGATCTTGTCTTCCATCGGGCCGGGCGGCGTTCAGGAAGTGTCTCGTGAGGAATTTCTTGTATACCCCAAGTGGCAGCATAGTATGGTGACGGAGCATCTGGAGGGGCTGCATCAGTACGTCCGAATCCAGGATTTCTCTCAGTTTCACATGTATTTGTTGCCAGAAGGCCGCTATGGGTGGGCATGACCACCAGATGTGTAGGTCTGTGCCTTTGGCCGCTTCGCATTTTCAGCAGCAGGCCGTAGATGTCAGGCCCATTTGGAATAGTCATGAGGGCTGTAACGGCACCCTCAGCATTAAATGGACAAACCACCATTTAGTGAATCCTCCCCTCTCACCATAACACAAGCTTCATTCGTATCAACTGCAACCATATGAATTGCAAGCAGGGGAATGCTCCAATCTCCCGAACGGGACCCGTACGGGTACTTCACTTCCCGACTCCAAACTCACGAATCGCCGCTAGTAGCCGAACTCCTATATCTCCCAAGCAGCTAATATTCATATCCGGCAGTCTCTATTCGTCGGTAATAAATCCCCCCCAAATAACGAGACCAAGCTCTGCATTGAGGGTAAAACAAGAACTGGGTTTACTGTGGGCTACCTGCCCGTATTTATGCAGGTCTCCCACTTGGTGGACAGTCCCATTGGGGACCAAATGGGAGACTGTAATGGCAGATGGACATACAGCATTTCAGGACACACAGGCACATAATATTCCCAGCATGCATCATGGTTTCCTCCCCTCTGCCCTGGAGATAATTAAGAAGTAATTCAATTGTCTCCCAGGACAGAGGCAAATCGCCATTTTAGATACAACCCAAAAAACACATAAAAATACATAACTTTACAATTGCCGAACATTTCTCATTCGTGTAACACATCCCCAGATAACCTGGATCTGAGTGCATATTATTGGCGAATAGCACTCAGATCCCATACGCATAGTTCAATCGCCATGGAGTCAAAGTCTATTACAGTCTTTCGGTATGTGATTGACTCCATGGGAAGGCTATCTGGGTTAAGTCCATTCGTGCGTTTCAAACTCCCGAACGGCCGGTGTTCGTATACTTTTGTCGATTGAGAAGGGAGGTCGGTGGCTTCAGCGGTGTTCGGCAGAAAAAGTGTCCGTTTTCAGTTCCATGAAATCAATGCCGAACACCGCTGGTCTTTCGCATGGTTTAAAATGGCCGCCGCCTCGTGGTCGACATACGAACGACGACCACCCTGCATTTGGTTTTAATTGAGAGGTGTCTGCGGTTAACCACAACGTTCTAATTGGGATCAAGAGGTTAACCAGCAGCACACTTCTCTTCTGGGTGGCCGTCCATTCGGTAGTTTTGTTCGGCAGAAGAGTCAATTAAATGAACAGGGGCATACGAACAGGTAATTCCACGAATAGGCAAAACAGACGAACCAGCAATCCCAGTCTATACAGATGGATCTGTCACAAGGGCGTCCTGTACCAGCCTGTCAGGAGCTTGTAATTGAGTTCCTGTATCTTAGAGCTTATCGTTCCCTTGTCCACGAGGATGTGGATCTTCTCCCATTAGGAGTCTGACAGAGTGGACCCCGTTGCCAGTTCCCACTTGGATTGGTATGTCACCGGCAGGCTCCGAGTGGCCTCAAGAAGTATGGCGTACAGCGCAGAGATTCCCCTCGGCTGGTGCGTCTCCGCAGAGCAAAGGGTCTTGAAGTGGGTTAAGTCACTGTTTTCAAGATGTTTACCCGGTAGAGTGCTGTGATAGTGCTGAATTTGGTGGAACCTGTAGTGAAGCAGCCCCGTTGGGTGTGCCTGGGAGATCAGGGTTTCCAAAGGTTTAAATTGCCCATTGGAGCACCATTCTCTAAGGTATAGTTTGTCCGGGCATCCCAGCCCTGCTATGTCCTGTGGTGCCAGACCTCCCACAATCTCTGGGTTGTAGACCACTGAAGTGAGAGGGGTCGGGTTGGTCATGAGTCTCAGTTTGTATCTCACGCTGGACCATACTTCCAAGGTTGCCCTGATGAAATTTCCTCGGTCTGTACGGGTTTCAGGAGCCACATGACTCGTGAAATCCGCCCCTGGGCTTGCGTGCGCTTAAGGAGGACCCATTGGTTGTCAGTTGTGCACATGCCAATCCATGATTCGGAGGAGGTGTGCAGCTTAATAGTAAGTTTGGAGTAAGGGTAGGGCCACCCCGCCCTGGCGCTCCGGCCGGATCAGCTGTGTATGCTTGAGCCTGGCCGAGCCGATGTCCACATGAATTGTCTGATGGCCGTGTTCAGGGTTCGGATAAAGACCAGGGGTATCTGGATGGGATGGTTGCCTAATCTTATAGATCTGTCTGTTTTCCTCACTCTTACATTTTTATAATTATTAAATGCTAACTTTTAGTTTTTTACTATTTTGGCCACATCTGTGGAGTACCACATTGGTTTCTTAATTTTTTTGGTTTTACTGACCAGCCTAAAGCAATTTTCTGTTGCCTTCAGCAGTGCAATATTTAAATAATCCTATTTCTCCTGGACTCCATTTAAACTGCTCCAGTCTGACAAGGACTCCTTTACACACATTCTAATTTTAGAAAAGTCTGTTTTTCTTAAGTCTAAAACTTTTGTTTTTGTGTGGTATAACTCCGTCACTGTTCTTATATTAAACAACACTGACTGATGATCACTGGATCCTAAAATTTCACCTAGAGTAATATTGGATACCAAATCTCCATTTGTGAACACTAAATCTAGTATGGCCTCCTCACAAGTTGGTTCCTCAACGAGTTGTTTTAGAGACAATCCCAGTAAGGAGTTTAGAATATGTGTGCTCCTGGCACAAGCAACTATTTTGGATTTCCAGTTCACATCAGGAAGATTAAAGTCAGCCATGATGATAACTTCCCCCTTCATTGTCATTTTAGCTATTTCCTCAACTAGTAGATTATCTAAATCTTCTATTTGTCCATGGGGCCTGTAAATAACACCCACACGAATTACTGTGTGATCTCCAAATTCTAACATAACCCAAACAGACTCTATGTTCGCCTCACTAACTTTTGTTAGGCTAGATTTTATGCTATCCTTCACATGCTATGTCCCAGTCATTTTTTTCTCATTGTACCATGTCTCAGTTACAGCCACTAAATCTACATTCTCAGTTGCCGTTATTGACACAAGTTCATGGATCTTATTCCGTAAACTGCGAACATTTGTAGACATGACTCTAAGCTTGTCATTTTTAAACACACTCGTTACAGTTACTGTCTATCCTTGTTTTGGGGGGCAATTGGAATGATGTTTTATCACCCTTTTGTCCCCCCTCCTAGTTTAAATACTTCCGAGCAAATCCTCTGAACTGCTCGTTGAGAACAATTGTTCCCTTTTGAGAAAGATGCAAACCATCTTTTTTGTACAGTTCATTTCTATTCCAAATAGAGCTACCATGAGAAACAAAGCCAAATCCTTGCTCCCAACACCATTCACCAAGCCACAAGCTAAAGTCCCTAATATGCATCCGCCTGTCATTCTGAGTGTTATGCACAGGCAGAACTTCAGAGAATGACAGTGTGGAAGCAACCTGCCATATATCATTGGCAAGAACACAAAACACTTCCTTTACCTCAGAAACTTCATTACAAGCCATATTATTTTTCCCAAGATGGACAAGTACATATAATTCCCCTTCCTGCTTTCATTGCTTAACAATATTACAAATATGTCTCCTGTCTCTGTGAGCAATAGCTCTAAGAAGACATCTCACAAAGCCACTATTGTTCAACTCCACACCTCCTAAGATAGAATCCTCCAACAACAACTGCTTTCTATCAGGCCTAATCTTGTCATTTTTGTACAGATAGGGGCTGTAGTGTATGTGAAGGAGGTGACATATAAATAAAAAACTTTTGTTTTAATGTATTTTTTTAAATAGCCTGTTTATTACTGCCACCCTCTGGTTACCTTGGGGCAGGGAGGGGAGACATCATGGCTTTCCCTGGGGGTCCCCAGTGTGGAGAGTTTCTGATCTCTGCTGTTGCAGCCCTTGTGTAATGGCTGTTGCAAACTCCAAACTCATAGTATCAGAGCATTGCCATGGTAACCTGTGGCAATGGTCTGAACAGACTGGAGCTCAAGGTCTTCAATGGCAGTGTTTGAGAGCTGTGTGCAGCCCCAAGTTCCTGAGCAGCCCTAGGACTTGGTACACAGGCTTAACATTCATTGTGGCGGACCGCCTGGCATCCCAACTGTGTGCCTCTGCCAATCGATGCTTCCTAGCAACACAGAGTACTCCTAAGCACTCCACCAGACACCATAACCACTGTAAACCCCACAGCCAGTGTTACAGCTTGGCTGGGGTCTCGTTGTCCTCCACCCACCCTGGACCCAAGGCCAGGATCCAGCTTCTAGTGGGTAGACTTCTCCTAGTCCATAGATTAAAGCAGGATGCTCTTACAAGAGCAACTGTTGTAATCCAAGGGAGTATAGTGATTATAGCAATCCCCAGAGTGAATATAGATGTTCCCTCCACACATGAGACAAGGCTCTATGTTAAGGGTAAAGAGGAACTGTTTAATGGCAGCTACAACTGGCCTTATATTATCAAGTCCCCATGCAAGGGGTTTTCCATAACATATTCCAGGGGCATTCCCCACTGGACCTAAGAGGGGACTGTGACAAAGTACACACTGTAATAACATTGGCTCTGAGGTCCAGTACACTCCCACACAAAACAGGATAATCCGTCCCCTGTGCCTGAGAGATAATTGAGTCAGGAACTGTACTAAACTCAATTATCTTTAGGCACAGAAAACATACATTTTAACAACATCCCGAAAGTACCGCCAAAACACATGGAAACCCCACAAAAGTCCCATCCCCTGATAGCCCTGATCTAGAAGACCAACATATCCAAAAATCACCCAGATCGGTTCAAGGGTTCTCAATTTCCATGGAAGTCATAGGTTTGACCGACCGTGCACATGGCCCTATGCCCAAAACAGTTTCAGGGAATTAGGGCTAATGCTCAGTCTCTCTTTCTGGAGTACAAGCCTTTTAAAGTGCATTGGGAAAGCTATATTGTAGGGCCCATAGTCCTGAGGCAGGAGGCTGACAAGCAGGCTCCTCCAGGAGCCCATGGCGAGGTTCTGTTTGCCACAATTGTAAAGAGGCATTTTGGAGACCTGGGGCTTTTCAGAGGCCCGCCACTGGCTCTATCGCGGGCCAACCCCTCTCTCAACACTCCTGGTGGTAGGTGTATTAAAAGCTGAAATATATATTTCTCTGTTTTAAAAACTCTTGACCAGTTTTAGACCTCTGTAATATTGTAGCATATGTTTTAGTGTATATCTGTCACTCGTATAAGAGTTTTAATTTATCATACCCTTCTTGTAAAAGAAAGACACTTACAAGCTCTGCATTCCCCACTATTAAAAGCTTTTTCTGCCATCTACAAAATTATTATGTTCCCTTTATGTCTGGTGTACAATTTTGGGCTGATGACGTTAAAGGTGTTTAAAAAAAGGCTCACTTAATAAAAGTTGCCAGTTATGATTAATAATCGGTCTGATTTCCTCTGGCATAATTACAAATGAAAGGTACATCATTGTTACTTTGCATTTTTTTACAACTCCTTCCTATACTTCTTTCTTATTGATTTGTCTATTAAATTCAAATATATATATTTTTTTGTTATATCTCCTAGTTTCAAAATCTTTTGACATTTTTTTGGCTTTGACTAACATCTGCATCAAGTTCCTTCAAGCCTTACAAATTGACTTTTTCAGAACATTAGCCTGCCAGGGACCATAACGGCAGCTTTCTTTCACAATGTTCATGTCCAATGGTTTCAATACATTTTAGTTTTGATCTTATTGTCTTGTATATGATCAAATCCAGGGAATTAACTTGTGTGGTTCTGTGTTCATATGTAAGTTTAACACCCCAATTGTTGGAATTGAGTTGAAGGATGAAATTATTGAATGATTGGCTATCACCCCTGCATATGAAGAAAAGTTCATCAATATATATTTTAGAGTGTGACAAGTTTGCCCCCAGCTATTGCTGGAATAGATATAACTTTTAAGGTAATATAGCTTTTTTATTTTACTGATACTGTAATTCACTAGGTGTTAATCAACCACCCTAGAACTAATTAATTAATTAGATATGAATATAGAACCAAAGAAATCTTGAAATTTGTATTATTAAAATTGTTAAGTTTTTATGAAATTTCATTTTGACTTGTACTATATATATATATATATATATAAAATATATAAATATATTTGTATTCGGTGCTATTCTTGTAACGTTAGCGTGTGTATTGTTTGACGTATTATATAGATAAGAACAAGTCAGCTATATAAGTCAAAGTCAAATATAATTTAGTGGTGTTGTGTGATAGTTTGAGGTTGAGATGGCAAAAGGATGCAAAAGCTACAAGAGTTGAAATAGTGAAAAACTGAACCAGGTTATGTTCTAACATAAATTTCTTATACAGTTTGAAAGCTCTATTATAAGACAGCCTTGTGCTTTCTGAGAGGGCCAGACTAGCCAAGGTGAGACTATGCTTTGATAACTTTTTTAATCCATTACAAGCTGCAGTGACTGTTGGTGAGGCTGTGGGTAACATGTCTCTGAAGGCCTGGAAGTAAAAACAGAGACAATTTGTCAGCTGCAGTATTAAAAATCCCTGGTACACAACAACACACCAAATAAAATTAATTGCAGGCTGCCAACCAGGTCAGTCTGCTCATGAATCTCATGATGGTTAGTGATGAGGAACGTCCCTTGTTTATAATGTGGCAGGTAGCTAGGTTGTTGGAGAAACAGCATACCGAGTTACCTGCCCAAGACTGACCCCATACTACGGCTGCTGCTACGATAGGGTATACCTCAAGTAAGGCTGAGGTGCATGAGAAGCCTTCGATGAGCTTTACCTCCTCTGGACAACCATTCCAGAGCCACTCATTGCCAAATATGGCG